GACAAGTGTTCTCCTCTGGGGCTCCTCCCTGGAGCTGCTCTTCCAGGGGAGAATCTGAAGGGCTGTTTATTTTAAGCAGACTAGAGAGAGACACAGGCAGAAGATGGGTGAGGAGGATCCCTGCCTCAGGTCACTGCTTCAACAAGAGACATGATTTCCCTCTGAGAAAGCCTGTGCCAGAGGGATGCACAGATTGTCACCTCCTGGCTACTTGGGCAGGAGTTTCTGCCCAAAGAGGCATCATGCTGATGGCCAGATTCCTGCAGGCTTCCACAGCCTCCATCAGCCTGCTGGAAGAAAGGGGTCCTGCCAGGCCTTTTCCAGTAATCCTGCCTGAGGACTGCAATGTCCCAGCCACAAACAACCCTCTGAGTACACAAGGAGCACAGTGATGCTGGTATGGTGTGCAAGCTCCACCTGCCACAGAGATCACAGCCAGTGCACCAACACATTTTGTTTTCAGAAGCTGAAAACCCTGGTGTGCTGCCAAGTCATGGATTCTTCATCATTAGCACCTTGCCTAAGAGTACACACAGCACGGCTGGGGTTTGCAGGAGAAAATGGGAAATATCCTCTCTCCCTGTTAGAGAACACTTCATCACAACAGGAAACCCAGCAGGGCCCAAAGCAGAGACTCACAGGTACAAACTGACAGGCACAGTACACCCCATGGCTTGCATTCCCCAGGGAACACCTCCTACCAGCTCCAGCCCCAGAAAAGCAGTTACACCTCTCTACACTCATTGCCTCGGTGTTGTGATTCTCATACCACTAAAGACAGGGGTGTGTTTGGGCCTTCAGCACTGCTGCAGGGTCACAAAATGGAACCAAACTCTTTGCCACAAAAGCTCAAGTCACACAGTGGGCCAAACCTAGGCTTACATCTTAGCCACACACCTTCCACAAACATCTTTGCCAGATAAGGCAATTCATCAGTCCAACAATGCTGTACCCTACATTGTTCAGTCCTAATCCAGCACCTGCAAATCCCACTGAGGGGTGGAACAGAGCATCTCTGTGACCAGCAGTCAAGCACACACAAAGCTTTGGGCTTGTCTGTACTGCTCAGGCATTATTTCCCCCACGGAGAGAATGCAGTGGAAGGACTTTTCAGACACACAGACCTCATCCCTCCCTCGCTGCAACTGTGTGGTCCCAGGGGCCTTAATTATCCAGGATCCTTCTTGCAGGGAGCTGCTCTGTGGGAACATTTGCATGTTTGACTCCTCTGGACAAGTTCTGAGGCAGGCAGCTAATCCTCTCCCAGGTCTCAATGTCATATCAATTTTCCCGTTCGAAGCTGAGCTCTCTCCATCAGGGGTTTTAAACTAATGAGACGTACTGAGGCCTTCAACTCTGGGAATATCAAATGCAGTGGGATTCAATTTCGTTTGATTTTCCTGTGGTTTTCCCTTTGTAATTAACACCAGACAGCATGCAACTTCTCTTCATCCTACCACTGGATACCATCTCCTCTCAAGACAAACATGTCAGGAAAGGTGATACTCCTACCCTACGCTGTCAAAAGCATAATAATTCTTTTTTTTTTTTGCTTCCTTCCCTCCAGCATGAATATAATGCACATCCTCAAGGTACTATGCAGACCCTTATATCTCCAAGAGCAGTGGCACAGATCCCTCAGGGTTCACAGCCCCTCCTACTTCTTACTCATACAGATTATGCTCCAGAAACACCGGTGCATGGGCACAAGCTCTGAAAGGATTTAATGGGACAGTCTTTCCTAAAATCCTTAGAGGGCTAAGGATGTCCAATGTGCCCTAGCAAAGATGAGGAAACATGAATCATGGAATCATTAAGGTTGAAAAAGACCTCTAAGACAATCAAGTCCAACTGTATCTGTTTCCATGTGCACCCTTTCCAAAGGCAGCCCAGTAGTCTTCCTACTACAGCAGGTTTCCCACACTGCTAAGACACACAGCTGCCACTGGCCATTGGCTTAGAGATCACACAAGCCAATATCCACTTTTCTTAAAAAAAAAACCTACAAGAGCTCAGTTTTGCCACATCTGGCAGGACCTGCAAAAACAGCAATGCTCTGCTTGATCAGAGGGGTTTGGGACAGTCCCTCAGTGTAGCAAGGGGCTGTACAGCAAAATAACATAGTGCAAAAGCCTGATCAAGAGGCAGCTCCTATAGGCACTGTTACATGAAGGTTTTGAGGGAGAATGTGTATCTTTTGGGGTCCATTACTAAACCTAGACACTGCCAACATCCTATGGCCTCAACCCAGCAGAAATCCCTGCAGAAGGGCTCTCCTGCAACCTCTCTAGACAGAAACAGATCTGAGGCAGGAAGGGAAGATAGTGCTGTAAGCAAAAGCAGGTCAGATCTGCATTACACCAAGAGTGAAGCAGATCCTTCTCCACAGTTAGGAAAATAAAGGTCACCAACCTTCTGCCTCATACACCTTGACCCTGGACTCTCACTGCAGGAGCTACATCAGGGTTCAGAGCAAGACCTGGGATTGTCTCTACCATTCAAGCAGATATATTAAACACACTCTTCTTAAAGGCACAGCATATTGCATGATCTATTCTAAGTCAGCATGTAAAATACCTCATTTTTTCAAAGAAAAAACTGTTTTATTTACCATAACTCAGTTGTCACGTTGACTTTTCTTCACAGGATAGCAGAATCTGGAAGGGACTTACCTGGACTAATGCAGTCTGCAAATTTAAAACCATGCTCCTCCTTTGCATACCTATAACAGCCACATCCCATTTCTTACAGTGATTTCCATACCAATAGCCCAAAATGACCATTTCAAGAGATGTTGCATTGCATCTGCCCCAATGCCAGCTCCACCTTGGAAAATATTTATGTTAGGAAAATATTAGGTTCATTAACCGGATGATTTGCCGCCTGAAGCTGCAGCCAACAAACTCTCCTGTACCTGCAGCACGCCCATAGACGTTTGAGGGCTGAATCCCTCCCCTGTTAATGCTGCTTTGGAAAACACCAGCCCAGCCTCTCACTGCTGTGCCAGGAGCCTGCAAGTTCCAAGTGTTGAGCATCACCTCAGAGCAGAGTTCAGCACCACTTTATTATCACTCCATCACAGAGTTCCCCGCGCTGCCTGGCAGCTCCAAATGAGCCCTCCACGCTGTGACAGCACCAGGACCACCGAGCTTTCATCAATATTCATGTCCCAGTGACACTCCAGAGAGCACTGGAAGCTCGTTTCCACCAGCAGATCATTAAACAAAGGGCAAGAGTGACCTTGCAGGACCAGCTGCGTCACTGATGTCACCAGGAGCTGAAGGGACAGAGACAGGGTCATCACCCAGCACTTCTTTTAATAAATAACAGCTCTAAATGAGCATGGCCTTGCCATGCCCAGTGGGACCCACGTGAGACTGGAAGCATCAGGGACAAAGATGCCCAAACTGCAATGTGCCTCCTCTCAGCAAACCCTGACCAGGGGGATGCTGGTGGAAGAAGCAAAACCCACCCAAACAGGGCTGTAAATCTGAATTAAATTGCTGTTTCAGGCATAGTTATCCCACTGCAGGGAACACACACAACTCCCTCCAAGGGCAGGAGCATTTAGGAGCACCCCAGGGCTTCCTGGAATGCTGCATCCCAGCTCAGGGTGTTTAGCAGAGAGCTTCCCCAGGCTGTACTACAGCACTCCACATGCAGAGACTGGATTACAAACCCTAATTGCTGCCATCCATCACATTAACAATTAGCATCATGTTAATGCATTTCCACTGCTCTCGGGGGAGGATGGAGAAGGAAAAGGGAGTCTTAGTCCCAGTTTACCTCGAGTTCACTGGGAGGCCACAAAAAAGCAACTCACAGGCAAACTTTCCACATACCCAGGTTCCTTGGGATATTCCCAACCCCTGAAAAAGCCCCATAGAAAAAAATCAGCTCATTCAGCCCTCCCAATCCAAGCAGACAGCTGCCCTACCTCCATGTTTCCACATAGAGAAAGTAGCTAATGGAAAATCACCCCTCACTAAAAATGAGACAACCTTGGGTGGAAGATGCCAGAGACTCTTTTGATACCCAACTCAGGTGCACCAGTTAAGGCCGATTCAGCCTCTAAACTCTTCTGTGAGCCTTGATCTCCAAATGTCCAAACATGGTATCAAGACAGCAACAGGCAAGCAAAGAACCTCCTGTACCCCACGTGCATGGCTGCACACTGAGTCTAAGGGGATTTGCAGCACTCTCTACTTCAGAAAAGTTTTGATTCCTTACAACTTCAAGGGGATGAAGTGCAGAAGAAGAGTAATATTTAATACATGTGCTTGAATGGCAGAGACAGCCCCAGGTCTTGGTCTGAACCCTTATGTAGCCCCTGCACTAAGAGTCCAGGGTAAAGGTGTATGGAATAGAAGAAGAGTCAGAAACCAAAAATCTGAGGAGCAAATCTAAAATCACAGGATTTATTTCTAAAATTATTTGCCAGCTCTGCAACTTCCACATGAAAAAATGTCCCCTGTATTTATAATTTTCCTCTGAAAAAGAGATTGCCTGAGCAGCAGGATAGACCATGTTCAGTCTTGGAAGAGCAGGATGTCCAAGCCCTGAGGTGAAAGATTTGCACACTCACACCCCTTTAAACCAACTCAAAGGACTGTAGGGCAGCAAAAAGCCTCTGCAAGGCCAAAAAGCAAGGTACAGACCCCCCAAAGAGCTGCCCTTAGGAGCTGGCTAGGCCTTGCATAACCACGTCTACCCCACAGGCTCGTACCCACAGCTCCCCCCACGCTCCGTCAGGGACAGGTTTCAGCCCCACAACCCGCTCCAAAGGTTCGTGCCCGCAGCTCCTAACACACCCTGTCACGGGCAGGTTTCAGCCCCCGTGCCCACGGCTCCCAGCACAGCCCCTCAGGCAGCACCTCCCCCCACCATGAGCCTGCGCTTTAACCCTCACACCGCGACACGCCCTCAGCCCCCTTCCGACCAATGGGCGACTCTTAATCAGCATATAACCGCAATGCAAGCCGGTAGAATCAGCGTCTCACCCTAACTTAGAAGCAGCCAGGTCAGCGAGCCTTTATATAGCGGCGGAAGTGCGCCGAGCAGCGTCCGGGGGAAGCTCACTGCCGAGGCCACCCACGGGGTGCGCGTCACCCGCGCCCCGCCTCGGGGAAGGTCTGAGGGAAGGGCCGCCCGCGGCCCCAGCAGGGCCCCGCCCGCGACGGGCGGGTGAGCCACCAGCAAGGGGGGGCGCCGCGCGGGCCGGCCCGGGCAGGAGAAGCCGCGGCGGTTCCTCCACGGGGAGCCCCGGCGGATGCTCATGGCCCCGCGGTGCTTTGAGACAGACTCACGGCCGGCGCGCTGAGTCCAATGGGTGAGGTGGGGCAGCGCCCCATAACCCAATTCAGACTACTCTCCCCCGGACACCCTTTTTTACTTTCGCTTTGACGGCGCGCTGAGTCCAATGGGTGAGGTGGGGCAGCGCCCCATAACCCAATTCAGACTACTCTCCCCCGGACACCCTTTTTTACTTTCGCTTTTTCGCCATCCTTCTACCCCCATTACCTTTCCCTCCTCCCACCCTCCTTTCCTTCCCCACACAGCTCAGTGTTCCACCTTACTTATTACTGACTTCTACTACCCTCTACTTATTCCTGACTTCAACCCCTCAAACCTGGAGGCCAGCAGAGGGCAACAAAGATTAAGGAGCATTTCGCTTATGAAGAAAGGGTGAGTGAGTGAAGAGAGGGGATTTTGTTTAAATATCTATGTGTAAATAACTAAACGTTAGCAAAGAAATTAAAAAGAAATACTGGAGTGGACTTCAGGAACCACAATGAGTTATGCAAACCAGACCTAAATTTTGTAAAAGTGGAAGGTAGAGGCCTGTGTTCCCACCTGAATCACCAAATTATTCACCAGCCTCACACCCCCCAGTTACTGACTTTTAAACTCAGAAACCTCCCCTTTATTTTACAACACTCTCCACCAAGCAAGCCCAACCATTCCTACTCCATCCAAAATAACCACAAACACCATTTTGGTTAAAAAAACTTTGTGTAATTGGTCTCTGCTGTCCCCACCCACCACTTCACAGTGGGTTGGGGTAGCGATGCCGGGAAAGCAGCCTGGGTTGGGTGGGTCGGGCAGGAAGCTGGGAAACACAGAGAGGTGATGTGAGCAATGGGCTGTCCCCCAAAATGTTGATTTGTCATCATCAGGATGCAACCACAACCATCCTCGCTACATTTCACTCATTCATCACAACCTCCCATTGCTGTCCTCCCACTATTGATTTACTTAAAAAAAAACCCTTATTCCCAAAACTGCTATCACCTAAACCCCCTTGCCCACAGCAGATCACCTGAAATCTGGCCCCACCCCAAAATCAGGAGCCACCCTAGGTGTCATGCAGCACCACCCTCATGAAAATGCTCTCACCTGAGCGACCTGGGCAGGGTTGAAGAGAGGAACTGAAGCCACTGGTGGGAGAGGTCCATGGTAGACAGCCTGGAAGGACCAAAGAGAGAGAAACTTAACAGACACCCCGAGCAGAGAGGTGTCACCCATCACACACGGGTACACTTTCCTCCCCTCCTCACCTGCTGTCCTGATGACTGCCTTCCATCCCATGAGCCTTTCACCTCTGCAGACACTGAACTAACAGCAAAGGTGCTTTCACCCTCCATTCCTCCTAGGGCCAGCAACCAAAATCAAAAGCCAATTTAAAATAAGGAGGAGAAACTTGTAAAAGGGTGATGGGGGAGAGATGAGGGGAACTGTGAGGTATTTACCAGGATTTCTGGAGAGAGGCTGAGCCAAAGGGTTTGTTCCAGCTGCCAGAGGGGCAATGGGTGGGGATGGTGATGCTCGCTCCTGAAATCACACCCACGCATTTAAAGCAGAAGCTCCTTGAGCTGGGAGAAAACCTCTGCACCAGACAGCACACCAGGCTTTTGGGGTACCCATCCTGCACCCCTCCTGCTGCAGAGGTACCCGAGGAGCTGCAGGAAACCTGGATAAGGAGGGGCTGCAGGGTCAGGGCAAGCAACTCAGGCACAAAGCTAAAGCAGCCTGAGGGTTCAAAATCAGGAGCTGGACACCAAGCCTGGGTACAGCGTGAGGGGCCTAGGTGCATGGCTCCCCTTCTGTTCTTCATCTCCTGCTAGTTTGAGAAGGATACCCCAAGATGTTTTTGCTCTGGGACTGGAGATCATTCTCTACCAGGAAGACATTTCCAGGGGAGGTTCCCGCTCCAAGCCATCAGGGATGTGATGCCCTTAGGAGCTGGCTAGTTCTGGGATGACCACGCATGGTTGCTTCCCCCTCACTGCTGCACTTCCAATTAAAGAGGTTTTCCCTTCCCTGCACCTCCCCAAACCTGCCGGAGCACTGCTGCTCACGGCTGCTGTGTTCCGCTCCAGTGGAGGGCGAGGGATCCCTGCAGAGTTTGCCAAGGGCTTGGATGACCTCATGGCTAAAGGAGGCTATATAAATTTATATCATATATATGGAAGAGACTATATGAATTTACAGTTATTATTAATCAAGGATTCACTTCCAGGCTAAAAGGGCTCCCAGTCCCCATCTGCCCCACATGGAATGGCCATGGCCCCTGCATGAGGACAGGGAGAAATTGGGAGATGTGTCACCCATTCTCACAGCTGTACCCTGCATGTCACCAGGGACAGGATGGCTTTTTGTCCCCTACCTGTGGTCCTGATGTGGGAGAGTCTGAGCCTGTGTCGGACTCAGCTTTGGGAGAAGTTTCCTTGGTGGGTTTCGACCGAAACCAGCCAAACCACCTGAATCCAGAGCTCTGGGAAATGAAGGAAAAGAGTGGAAAGGGATAAGAAGGGGTGGATGCCAGGTGCCTGCTGGGAGTGGGCACCATTATTCCAGGGACAGGGCTGGGTGCATGAGGCTCATGATGGCTCTGCCATGCTCACCTTGTCCTCCTCTGGCTTCATGGGCTCTGCCTGCTCCTCAGCAGTGTCCTCAGCTGCGCTGTCCAAGGAGGGCTGGCTGTCCCCCAGCGAGACAGTGGAGGTGTCTGAGAGAGTCCGAGTCCTGCCTGGTGACTCCTCCTGCCATCAGACATGGAAGCTGCCATGTGCTGCTCCCACAGGAGCTGCACTGAGCACGGTCAGAGCCCCTCTGGGATTGCTCCACACCCACATTAGTGGGGAGCATCCCCAGGGACCCCTTACACAGCAGAGCACCCACAGCAGGGCACAGCTTTCACCCAAGGGAGCAACTGGCACCATGATGGCGGGATTCCATGTGAGTTCAGTGCATGGAAGGATGGGCCAGCACATCCCAGCTCCAGCCAGGGCCCTCAGTGGGATGGTTTCTCTGGCTCCTCTGACTCACCTGCTCTACAGGGGACAGCCTGGCACCCCAGGGCTCCTCAGCTTCTCCTGTGGAGCAGAGGGAAGGACACAGTCAAGGTTTGATCTGTAGTGCTATGGATTTATCCATCAGAGCTATTTCCAGAGCTTCTACCATGGCCCTCTCCAGAGCACAGCCATCCATGTGGTGGCCAAGATGTCCCCCAAGAGATGCAAAAGGCCATTCTGTCCCTGTCCCTGCCAGCACCAGGGAGTAAGTGGTGAGGCTGAACTTGTGCATCTCAAAGGCAACTTCTAAGGAAGAAATTCCTCTCTGTGAGGGTGGGAAAGCCCTGGCACAGGCTGCCCAGAGCAGCTGTGGCTGCCCCATCTCTGGAATGGGACCTGGTCCCAGGCTGGATGGGGCCTGGTCTAGTGGAAGGTGCCCCTGGGTGGAAGGTGTCCTGTAGCCATATTTTCTGAAAAATCCTTTCCTTAGGATTTTTTCTCCTGAGAAGCTGAGAGGCCTCAGAAACAAAATGTAAACAATGGTTATCTGCTGCTGAGGAATGCAACAGGTGCATCTGTGATTGGTCTCATGTGGTTGTTTCTAATTAATGGCCAATCACAGCCCAGCTGTCCAGACTGTCTCGGTCAGCCACAAGCCTTTGTTATCATTCTTTTTCTATTTCCATTCTTAGCTAGCTTTCTGTTAAAGTCCTTTCTTCTATTCTTTTAGTATAGTTTTAATGTAATATATATCATAAAATAATAAATCAGCCTTCTGAAACATGGAGTCAACATTCTCATCTCTTCCCTCATCCTAAGACCCCTGCAAACACACAGTATCCCTGCCCATAGCAGGGGGTTGGAACCAGATGGTCTTTACCATCCTTTCCCAACACAAACCATCCTGGGATTCTGTGATTTCTGCAGGGAAACGAGGCTGCAGCACTCACCTGCTGGCAGCGCTGGCTGTGGAGGGGGCTCAGCACCACCCCCTGCCAGAGGGGCAGGTGTCTCCTGGCTGAGCACAGGGGGCTGCAGGTCTCTCCCAATGCTGGGCAGCGGAGATGCCGCCACCTGAGCAGGTGCTGGGGACCTCAGGGACATGTCCTCCTGGGGCCTCAGTCCCTGGGATGGCACAGGCTCAAACCACTGGTCATACTGGTAGCTTTCACTCTGGGGAATCTCATTGCCAGGCTCTTCATCTGCCAATAAAAACCACACACCTCAGGAGTTTATAATTTTTGTAATGTTTATAATTCTATCAGGCTGTTGCACAGATTTCTCCCCTTTTCCATTAAACATCAGCAGGAGCTGGGGGAGTGAGGAAAGGCTTCAGGGACCAGGCAAGGGAGGAGGTAGGACACAGCACAGCAAAAGGAACCTTCCAGAGGTTTCAAGGAAGGTGGGCTGGGAAAGACTGGGGGAATTATTTTTTAATGCTGGGAATGTACCTGAGGCTATAAATGAACTCAGAAGGGGAATGCTGTGGAAGCAAAGGGCCCACAAGCAGCACGCACCAGCAGCTCAAAGAAGGCTGCGGTCTCCAGCCTTTTCCCCCACTCCTGCTGCCTACCCTGAGCAGGAAATATACAGCAGGTAGCTTTCATTCCTGTTGCACAGCAGCACCCACGGATGAGTTCCTTGCTTTAGGCAGATTTATTCAGGGTTGGGATTTTTTTTGTTTGAAAGGCAAGTTGAGCGAGCAGGATTGGTTTTATTTCACACACACATTGGTCCCAGGTGTGTGTCCTGCCCATTCCAGCTCAGCAG